GGCTCAGAGGCCCCTGGCTTATCCCCCAAGACTTTCTCCCGTCTCACCAGCCTCCCCCTGGGGAGCCAGGCGGCTAGGAAGGAATGGGGTCTTTCCAGGCTCCGTTCAGCCCTAGTTCCTGAATCCACCTGGGTAACAGGAGAGTGGTATGGCACCCACAGTCTTCTAGAGATTTCCCAAGTCTCCCGGCAGGCCGGGCTGCATCTGGCCATCCTGCCTTAGGCCCTGGTCTAGACTGGTCAGCAGGTGACCTTTGTCCAGCTCACCAGATCCTCAGTTCCCACTGCCCTAGGGACAATATAAAACAGGTCAGAACCCTCTTGTCTGCCTGCTCAATTCCTCCCAAGAAGCTGCTGCTCCACGTACTGCCCCTGGGGAGGAGGGTGTGGACAGGAGAGCAGGGTGAAGAGGGGCAGAGGACGGTCCCTGCCAGCCCAGCCAGCAAAGCCTGGAGAGGAGCTTGCTAGAGCCAAGGAAGACACAGGGCTCGATGAGTGGTCCCCCCTCCAATTGCACACTGGGGGAAACTGAGGCCCATGGAAAGGAGGTCACTTACCCAAAACTACAAAGAGTGTAGTGACAGAGCTGGGACTGGCAGTAGCTCCTGATCTGCTCACTTTCCCCTCATCCTGCACGTGTAGGACCAGGAGAAGCCTAAGACACTCCAGTCGTATCGCAGACAGAAAAACTGAGGCCTGGAGAGGGGCCGAAACCCATCTTGCGTCGCACAGTTTTCCAGAGGCAGGAGTCAGGCCAGGGCCCAGGGGTCCTGCTCCCTACCTAGTCTGGCAGGTTTTCTGCTGCAGCCTGCACCTCCCTCGCTCTGGGCTGTGGCGCCCTGAGTGTCCTATCCGAAAACCCTCCATCTCCCCATGTCAGCTGGTAGCATGGGAGCAGGCTCTCTCTCCGCCTGGCTGCACCCAGCTCCGGCGTCACCGCAGGGGCCACGCCACTTCCCCAGGGACCTGGAGGACACTTCCTAAGACACGACCCTGTAGGAACAAAGGTGCCAGGCAGCCCCAGATCCTCCTCGTGGCTGCCCTCCTGGCGCTTCTGGCCTCTGCCCTTAAGCAGTTTGTGGAGACTGGGCGAGGGACAGGTAGGGGTAGGTTTCTGCCTGGGGGACCCTTGGGAGGTGGCTTGGTGATCCCAGGTCATGATGAGTGGCTGGCCAGGAGCCAAGGGCGCCCCCCAGAGGCTGATCCACCCTCCTCAGCCCTGCTTTCTTTGCAGGAGCTGTGGAGGCGGAGGATGCCTCCCTTCTGGGCTTCATGTGTGACTATGTGCAGCAAGCTAGCGAGAGAGGCCAGGACGCGCTGACCAGTGTACAGGAGTCCCAGGCGACCCAGCAGGCCAGGTACACCCTCACTTCCTGTCCTGGGCGCCAGCTCCCTCGGCTCCTACCTGCCCCTGACTTGGTGACAGCCCTGGTAGTGCGGCTGTGGCTCTCCCGCGCCCGGCCAGGGCCTGCACCTCTGAGCCTCCGTGCCGTGGTCTACCAAACAGGGTCCCTCACAGGGCTGTTTCAGGTTGCTGGGGAGAGACAATGGACGCCTCTGTCCCTTCCTGGCCTCTTCTCCCTTTGCTGTCTCCCCTTTCTCCCTCAGGTGCCCTACATGGCTCCAAGGAAGGTCATTTGAGCCCTCACATCCATTTTCCTTTTCTGACAGCCTGGCCAGCCATTTGACTGGGACACTCCCCCAACCTCATTTCGGGGGTGTGTGTGTGTGTGTGTGTGTGTGTGTGTGTGTGTGTGTTTCTATCTAGCTCCAAGCGCTGGGCCAGTCCTTCCTCTACCACCTTGCCCTGCCCTCCAGTCCCCTCCTCGCACCTCCATGCCACCGGCGTTGGCTGGCATTTAGGTAGCAGAGGTATGTTCACAAACATTCTCTGTCCTCAGAGCCAGCTGTGGAGTAGGTATTGTTTTCTCCATTGTGAAGATGAGAAAATCGAGGCTCAGAGAGGTTAAGTGACCCTCCCCAGATCACATTGCTAATAAATCCTGTGATGACTTTGCAAATGAGACACTGTTTCCCCTCTGCCGCATCCTACTCAGAGCTACTGGGCTGTATAATGCTAGGGGGCAACATTTGCCTAGAACAGAATGGCAGACCTGACCTTACACAGCTTCCCGCCCAGTCGCTCCTCTCCAGCTTACCTCAGGACAATGGGGGCACAAGCATCTGTCCCAACTCGGAGAGCAAGCCTGGGGAGAGCTGTAGGGGATGCTGCCTGAGGTCTTAGGCGTGTTGCTGGGTGAGATTGAGAGGTTTGGGGAAGAGGTGGGGGGATCTATGGAGGCCCGCTTTCATCCTCACCTCTATTACTTCCCCTTAATGAGTTACCTGCCAGGGGCTGGATGACAGACAGCTTCAGCTCCTGAAAAGACTGACTAATGGAGCACACCTAGGGGTGAGTTCTCCAGCTTCTGGGATTCAACTCCTGCCACCACACCAACTCCAGCCCCTTAGGCCACTTGAGACCTCAGCACCCCAAGTCTGCGTGCCCACCCATGCTCCCGGCTCCTTGGGTCCTGCAGCCTCCAGGGCTGCCCCTGAAGTTCGCCTGAAAAGGACAGCATTCTCAGTGTCCTCCCATCCTGTCCCCCAGACCTGGCCCACCCCCAGGCATGCTGTCTTCCCAATAAAGCCAGACAAAAAGCCGCATGTGCCACGTATGTTTGGCTTGGGCACGGGCGGGCTGTTCTGTAGGTGGGCGCTGGGCTGAGCAGGCCTAGGGCTGGTATGCTTCTCACCTCGTAGCATCTGGGCCTGAGTTTCTTCATCTGTAAGGTAGGATTAACGCTACTTACACTGCCTGCCTTGATAGGTTTGTGTGGAGGAGCAAACAAGATAATAGGTTTGACGACACTTTGATAAACTAACTGTCAAATGCTGTGCAATGTGACTTGAATGTGTGCTCTATATCAAGTACTGTGCCTGGCATTTTTATGTCATCATCAGAGTTGAGACTGTGTATTCATCAAAATTAAGGAACTGACTTATGCTGTCTGGGCCACCTGGCCTCTAAACCACACTTCAGGGAAAGAGGCCACTGGGGCAGTAGTTGGAATAAGGTACAATTTGACTCTAATCTTGGCTCTGTCAAGCTATATCAGCCTCAGTTTCTTATCTGTAAAGTGGGCACAATAATACCGCTTCCACTGTAGGTTTTTTGAATGAATGAATGAAATGAGACAGTGCATGGCACCTGGCACATCAACAGTACCTGGTAAATGGTTGTTATTGTTGCTATAGGCAGAGCTGATTGTCCCCTTGGGACCACCCAAGGGGACAGCTTTTTGGAGTGGGAGGGCCAGGGTCCTAGGAACTAAGAAGTAATCCAAAGTCACCCACAGAGGGTGCTTTGTTTGTGTCCTCATCACCCAACAGATACTCTCATCAGAGAGTTCAAGAACCACATTCTACTTGAGCAGTGCTCCCCTCTCTTCCAGTGAAAAAATTGAGGCTGAGTAAATGTTGCAGAGCCAGCACGTGGTAGAGCCGGACCTCAAGCCCAGGTCAACTGTCCATATTCAGCTCAGCTGACACAGGAAGAAAAGCTTAGTTAGTCCCACGCCAGGTGTCGGAGGGCTTCCTGACAAATTTTTGTGGTGTCTGTACATCCAGCCCCACTTGGAGATAATCGGCTGTCTCTTTGAAAATCTACCTGGGCTTCTTTCCCAGCCCAACTGGGCCAGGCATCCTAGCACCCACACCTGAGAAATGTTCTCACCCAAATCTGGGTTTGATACCTATTGTTGTAGGTGGTTAGGAACTACAAAGCCTGCTGCTTTATCCAAGAGACAGAGGAGGGGCAATTATCCAGTGGCCTGTGCTAGGGGGGCAAAAAGGCCCTGAGGGGAGAAAGTAGGAAAGGCTCCATGAAGGCACTGCCCAGATCCTGGAAGGTCTATGAATCCTTGTGCGTGCACAGCAGGCTATGTGTGCCTGAGTGTGAAGAGGGGCAGGGTGTGAATAGGGATGTACGCACGAGAGCACATATACATGTATCTGCACCCAGATGAACTTGAGTGCCTGGCTGAGCACTTGCTTTTTCAAAATAGCCACGGATGCCCAGCGCAAATGGGTCTGAAAAGGGCAATCTCTCCCATCCTGCTCTTCAACCTTGGCCGGTGACTTCCCATCTCCAAGCTTCACTTTTCTCCTCTGTACCATGGATTTAATGGCTGTCTACCCAAACTTCAGGAAGGATGCAGTGAGATTATAGTTATGAAGGCATCTTGAAAATAAAAATGTGCTAACTCCCTGAAAAAGGTAGTGATTGTTTTTCTGACTCAGAGCTGGCAGAAAGATGGGGTGGCAATGCTTGGAGCCCCGTCAGTGGGCTGGCTGGCTTGCACTGCTGTGCCTGAGGACACAGTGGCTGCTTCGGGATAGGGCAGGAGTGAGGAGTGGCAGGCTGCCCTTGTGAAGAAAGAAAAGGGAAGCATTTGATTAAGTGTTGTTTAATTAAGAAAGGAGGAAGAAGCAAAGGCCAAGCTCTTCATTTGAACCTGCCCAAATCCTTCAAGCGCCCTCACGCTCCCAGAGCCAGAGAGCTGGGGAGAGGCTCCTGTCCTCCGACCAAGGACACAGGGCGCCCCCTTCTCCCGGCACAGTCAGTGCTGCCCCCGTTCCCTCCTCAGACTCAGCTGCAGTACTTATTGTTGAGGCTCTTTCGGGGCACTTAGCCTTGGATTTTTACCTGGGCCTCTACTTCCTTTCTGCTTGATCCTCCCTAGAAAAGGGACTCAAAGGACCTCGCTCCCAAGCAGCAGACACCTGGCAGTTCCTCCAACATTAAGGCCCTGAGAGGCTGAGGTTCCAGAGTTGATGAGCTCTGACTGTCCCTGGCCGCAGGCCCTGCCACAACTCCCCAGAGTCCCTTGCAGAGGCCCACACCCCCATCTTTACTCTCTCAAGAGAGAATATTTTGAGAACTTTTTATTATTTAAAAATCATAGTTGAATCTTCAAAAAGCATAAAACCCAGAACATGTGTCCCACTTTGTAAACGTTTATTCTAAGAAACTAAGCAACTGAAAGGGAAACCTGAGAAGAGGGGCCAGGAGGAGTCCCAGCAGCAACGGCATCTCACTGGGTGGTCAGCTTCTTGTTGGCATCATCAATGGCAGCCATGATGGTCGCAAGGTTGGTCTTCAAGTTATCCCATACGGGCAGCAGGGCCTCCTGGAGATCCTCCAGCACGGGCGTGGCCTTCTCACGGAGCTCTTGCAGCTGCTTGCTGGCCTTGCTTTGGAGCTCGGACAGGCTGGCGCTGCTCTCCTTGAGTGCCTCCAGCCTGGCGCTGAAGCGCTGGCGCAGCTGGTCATGGAAGGGCTCCAGCTTCTTGCGTAGGTCCTGGCTGAGCTCGGTCAGCTTCACTTGCAGCTCCTGCAGCTTCTGGCGCGTGGCCTCGCGGAACTCCTGGGCCAGTGGTGTCACCTTTTCGTAGTAAATGTCCACCTCCTGCTGCCACTTCTTCTCGAAGTCCTCCAGGTGGGGCTTCACCATCTGCTTCACATCCTCCAGATCCTTGTTCATCTCCTGTGCCAGCGCTGTTGTCATCTTTTCCAGGTCACCCCAGATCTCCAGGGTAACCGGGCTGAGCTTTTCACGCAGCTTGGTGGCTGTGGAGCCCAAACTGTCCCAATTCTCCAGGAGTTTCAGGCTGGAGGAGGGGAGAGAGAAGGTCTCAAGGGGGGACTTTCCAGGCACGCGGGACACCTCCAGAGCTGCAGGCCCAGTGCCCAAGCTTACTTGTGGTGAGACCTGGGTGATGCCTGTTCCTGAACGTACGGTAGTCGTGGGTCAGACCTGGGCCTGGCTTGTCCCATGCAGTGTCTCACCCAGCTCATTCCCACCTCCCCACCCCCCACCACATTCCATAGAGTGAAGAGCTAGTGGGAGACAGAGCTGAGTTTGTGTTCAGTCTTGTCTGCCTCCAAAGCTGGGCCTTTTGAGGACCTCATCTCTATACTTTGGACCATTCTCTTCTCTGGAGACAGCCATCCTTATTGCTGGGCGGGAGCAGATCTGCAAGATGCTTGTTGCACTTGCAGACAGGAGTGTGATGCTGTGATTACTAATCGGGCAGCACTGGTCTGTCCCTTGCTAGGAGGCTGTGACCCTGCTTGGGGATCCCATTCTCGTCTGTCCGTCCAGCTATGGAGCCCATCAAATAGTGGGTGGGGATTCAGCCAGTCTGGTTACATCTTCCCACAGGCCTGGCATCTGCCCCTCAGGACCAGCAGCCCCTGCCCCCCGCCCCCCCAAACCGCAGGCTGGGTCCTTACTTTAAGTGTTTTCCCAAGGCGGAGGCTTCAAACTGGGCCACATAGTCTCTGCTACTGTCTTTGACTGAGTCCACGTACACGGAGGCTAAATCCTTCACGCGATCCCATTGTGACTGGGGGTCATCTTGCTGCCACACATGCTGAGCCTGGCTCCCTGGGGTGGGAGAGGAGGCTCGCTCAGTTCAGGCCAGCTCCGGGCAGGGCCTGAGCTGGAAGACCAGGCTTGGGGGCAGGAGAGAAGGGTCTAGTGAGACATTTTGCTCCCTGTGCCCCAGAGGGTGGTCCACAGGGATTCAGGGAGAAGAGTCCTTCTGATGGGCGGCTTCATAAGTTGGGGGACACTTACCCGTGAGGAAGAACACGGCCAAGGTCAACACCACCACTTTCATCCTGGGTGACCTGGAGGAGAAGAGGGGCCTGGCTGCAGGTAGGCCTGTGGTGTAAGGAAGCTCTGTATCCCCCCAACCTGCTCCAGGCAGGAGAGGAGAAGGGGGTCACGAGTGGGAGAAGGCCTCAGGTATCCGGAGCCCCAGCACGGAGCAGAGCCTGAGCCTCAGGGCTGGGGAAGCCAGAGGAGCCTGGAGCATGTAGCAGCACTTACCTGGAGCGAGCACTTCAGCAGTCTCTGAGCAGCAGCTTTCCCTGGGCCTATTTATGTCTCCAGCAGGGGCTGGGCTGGGAGGCTGATAAGCTCAGCCCAGGCCTTGCCACTGCTCACTGGTCCCAGTGGAGATGTGGAACTTAGAGTTCAAGGATCAGCTCTGCCCCTGGAGCTGGGCAAATAGAGTGGGCAAACAGAGAGCTAGGGGGGCTGCAGGGCCAGGGATCAAGGGTTCAGGAGGGGGCGGTTGCAGGCTTGCAGGGGTGGGGTCAGCTCTACCCATCCCTTTCTCATTGGTAGGATATGTGTTCCCCACCACTGTCCGCTGTGCCAGCGCAGCAGGGGAGAGGAGGGAGAAAAGAAAATAGCAACTGGCTGGCCACGAACAGCAGGCACTCTCCTGAATTTCGAGGAGATGACACCCATCTCTGGCCCTCCCTCACCTTCACAAGGGCACAACAGCCCTCCCACTCGCACTCTCATGCCAGCAGGTTTGGCACACCTCTTTCCAGGCCCTCGTAGACCCCCTAAGCCCTTAACTGAAGGGAACTTGCGGTGCTAGCGATCGGCCTGGAGAGAGAGTGGAAAGTGTTCGGTGGATCCCAGACTTTGAGATTTCAGAGACCTCTAATATTTCCAAACAAATTCTAGAGACCCGCAATAGAGTTGCCGACTTTTAATTCTGTCATGTAAAAATCCGACCTACCACCCATCCCCCAAGCCCTACTGTGTACCATGACTAGCACTTGAAAAGAGAAAAGATTTTTAACATAAAATAAGGCATAATCTCAGAATAAAGGAAAATTATTTCAATTGAAAACATATGTCTTTGCATGGTTCATATTTATATTTGATCACACACTGGATGCTAGCCCTCCGGGATCACTGGTGTGGGAGAAAGACCTCTGGCCTTTCTCTGGTAGCAGAACTGCTTTCTCACTTAATTTGCCTTCAACTTGCAAAGGCCTGAAGGAGAATGCTGAACCAGTTAGGTGATCTCCTGAGCCTCAGTCTTCTACCGGTAAAATGCAGGCGAGAACGGTCGGGGTTATTGGAGGCCAGTGCGAATCCTGAAAATGTAAGGTGCTTGCAGTGCCGGTTTGTAAGTTTTCTCTTGGAAGGCTCAGGACCTCCAAGACCAGGTCACTGGCAGGATCTGAGTCATAGAACCTCTGAATGTCCAAGCTGAAAGGAACACTGAGACAATCTACTCCAGCCTCCCTCCACCTCCTGCCATCTTACAGACGAGAAAACTGGAGACAGTGAAAGAAATTTGCCCAGCGTCTCTGGTCTCCCAGGGAGTTGGAGGAAGGACTGGACTTAGAACTCCAGGCAGGAATGTGCCCTACAGCATTTGTCCAAGAAACTCCCTCATAGTCTAAACACCAGCCTGGTGCTGCTCTCTGCCAGATTCTGGAGGTGGGGGGCGGGGGGGCAGGGCTTGGAGCCTTTCCCACTGTAGCCATTCCCCTATCTTTCACCTCAGAGAGACAGGCTTTGGAGCTGGGCAAGGTTTGAAGCTCCTCTTAGGTTTGAATCTCAGCTATGCCACTTACTATCTGCGTGACCCTGGGCAAATTACAGAACCTTCCCACACATCAGTTTCTTAGACTAAGGCAAAATAATACACAATAATACCGCCCCCCCCCCGCCCCCACAAAGATGTCCATGTCCTGCTCTTTGGAACCTGTGACTGTTATCGCAAAAGGGGCTTGGTGCAGATGTAATTATAAGGCCCCGGAGGATGGCGTGGTTATCCTGGATAATCTAGGTGAGTTCCATGTCATCACAGCCATCCTTAAATATACAAGAGGGAGGCAGGAGAGATGGAATCAGAGTAGGAGATGGGAGGATGGGAGCAGAGGTCAGTGACGCACTGTGATTGATGGTAGGGTACATGAACCAAGGAACTTGGGTAGCCTCCAGAAGCTGGAAGAGGCAAAGAAATGGATGTCCCCCTGGAGCCTTCCGAAGAAATACAGTTCTGCTGGCACCATGGTTTTAGCCTCATGTGACCCATTTTGGACTTTTGACCTGCAGAACTGTACTGTCAGGTAATAAATTTGTGTTGTTTTAAGCACTAAATTTGAACGTGTATGGCAAAACTGAAAGGCACCTGGCATATAGTAAACAGTAACTATATGGTGTTCCAGAATCCCAATTTCTGGCATCTTTCCCCCTTGCTCTCACTGATCACCCTTGATCACAGTCAGACCAGAGCTAAGGCCTTGGCTTCAGGCAGCAGAGGTGGGGGGAAGTCAGGGAATCTCATTTTCTCCGTGTGGTCCTGACTTGCAGAAGCTGCGATGTGGGGTCTCCATTCCGACTGACCCAGCGCCAGAGGCCTGTGGGAGTATAGCCTCAGGGACCAGCCGCCTGGACTGCCAGCTGGCCAGCCCAGCTTTCTGCCTGTTTGGGGAGGGGAAGGCAGGGGTAGGCTGTGGGCTGGGTCAGCTCACAGGTAGTTGTCTCAGGCCAAGAGAGGTTATTCTCTTTCTGGAGGGGAGAGTTCATCCCAGCCAGCACATGAGAGCTCTCAGAATCTTACAGGTTGGGCTCCAAGCTACTTGTCACTGTTTTACCCTCCTCTTTGGTTTATTACTGAAATGATTATTATGGCTAAACCCAGTATCCAACATTTGCGTAGTTCTTTAGTGGCCAAAGCACTTTCACGATTAACTTAGCAAGTAACTGTGAGGCTGGCAGGCCAGATGTTCTCGTTAGCTTGTCTGTGAGAAGACTGCAGCTCAGAGCTGCCAAGAGCTGCCCTGCCTCCTTGAGCCATTAGCATTTGGTGTTGGCAGGCCTGAGTACCAGGAGGCCTGGCTTTTACTTCCTTGGTGGCTGCCTGTTGGCCAGCAGCAGCAGCAGCAGCAACAGGGCCCCAGATCCCCACAGTCCCGGTGCTCTGTGCAGGAACTCTAAGGCCTGGCTTGGGGACTTCAAGACCCTGGGCTGGAGAGTGCTTTCAACAGCATCTTCCTGAGCATGGAGATTCCTTTTTTACTGAACTTATTCAGTAGTGTATCTACTCCATTTCACCGTAAGACTTTAGGCTTAAACTAGCCCAAGCCCCTCATTACTAATATTTTGGAGGAAGGAATCTTTCTGGATAGAGGCCAATGGGAACCGCCACCACGAATCTCACTTGGGGGCCAGCCAGCCATTGTTAGGGGCATCAAGTGGAATAGACAAGCTGTTTAGTGGGTGCAGGGCTCACCAATACAGGCCCTTCGTACTACCACGCTTTTCTCCTGATCTTGGGAGTCTTCAGAGTGACTGTTTCTGAAGTGGGTCACCAAATGGCTGGCCCTGGATCCTCTGACGCATGTGTGAGTTCTGCTAGCTGGCTACAGAAGTGGATTTTGCTCATTTCACAATTTATGACCTAGTGTCACACTGGTCAGTCTACATGGGGAGGACTCTGGCCCTTCCTAGGCCTGGCACATAACAAGACACTCAAACAATATTTGTTCATTGAATGGCACTAGTGCACTAAAGGAAGCATCACCAGGATGATAAAGGGTCAGTTAAAGGAAAAGGCCTTGGGAGGAGACTCAAGGAACTCTTGATACAGCCCTGTATCATGGACTCTGTTCAGAACATTTAACTGGAGAGCATGTGGTGGATCAAGATGGGGTTTAGAGTTTGTACTGAGCAGTGGAGAGAGGAACACCCCTGCAAATATTTCCTGTAGGGCAATTCTGTTGCAGCTTTTGGTGACAGAACCTCAATTTAGACCCTAGGGCAGGGCATTGTAACCAACCACATGCAAGCTCCTCTTGGGTCTTGCTGCTTAGGGGATGAGGGGAGGAGGGGACGATGGCATTGGTATGACCAGCATGAGTGGAGGTCTGGCTCCTTGGAAGGCACCCAGGCCTTCCCAATTCTTGATCTTTGCAGTTGGAGCGGAGTGGGGACTCTGACAAAGTCAGAAAGATCAGTAAGGCTCTGTGAGCATGGCTTCTGTTCTCTAGAGCTCAGATCTTTGGATCTACATCCAGAAGGCTATGCCCCAACTCCTCTGCGTTCACCCAAGTCGCCCTGGTTGACTTTAGGAAGGACTGGCACCCATTTCAAAAGGTTGTGACAAGTTGTTGGAAGGCATCTAGGGTAAATCACTGGCTTCAGAGACACTCGCCCAGCTTTCCATGGGAGTGTGCACAGACTTGGGTGACTGCTGGAAGACCCTCCTTCAGAAGGCACTCTTCTATTCTAAACAGTCCCACTGCAATTTTCTAGTCCACCAGGCATTTGAAAGCTTTTGTTAAGTTCCTTTCTCTCACCCTTCTTCCCACACTCAGTCAATGGTTCCCACTTCAGTGACCTTTCTCCATAGAAGAACTTCAATCAGCTCTTGGCCAAACCTGGGGCTTTGCTGGAAATACTGTCCTGCCCTTGGGAGTCCAGGTGTGGAAAATGGGGAAAATTAGAGAAGTCCCCTGTTGTCCTAATGCTGGGCTGACTGGAATCACCTCATAAAGGCCCAGCCTTGAGACCCTAGGATCTGGCCTTCCTGCTATTCCTTCTCAAGTACCCTCTGAAGGAATCCGTTTTCCACCTGATTCAGCAAATTCAAATACTCCCCTCTGAGGTGTCAGAGTGCAAGCTGAATGCAGGGGGCCACAGTGTGGAGCCACGTTCAGAATTCTAGAGAATGCTGGTTTTACAAGGTGGAGTGAGATAATGCGTTGCTCAAAGCTCCACCCTAGGCTTGGTAGACTTTTTCTGCTTCCACCCACCTGGATGCTTCTCCCAACTAGACTCTGAACCACAGGGTAAATAATATATCAATATAAGATGACAATCAGTTCTTTATTTTCACAATCCCCTACTGTCCAATTAAGTTACTAAGTTGTAAGTGCCCACAAAAAAGGGGCTAATGGGCTTACTGAAACTTGAGTCTGGAGACTTTTAAAATCCTTTTTAAGTTCAACATAAATGAGGAAGAAAAAAAATACTTCTGACATTTTCAAAGAACAGATATAGGAAAGTATATTAATATACATTCAACATATACTGCGCACATTGGTTACTATAATACAAAGCGATGATTTTTAAAAAGTGTAGTTCGCAAGATGGCACGGTTCATAGGCTCACGGGCCTCCACTGGGTGGTCACTGGAGGGTGGCAGCCTGCTCTCCCGTCAGCTCAGTTCCATGTAAACAGAACAGAGAAGTCAAACAGCAGCTGTTTGGCCTTTCATGGTGGCCTCCTTCTGGTGAGTAGCTGGTGGCCCCACCAAATGGAGGGGCGATTGGGGACCATGAAAACAGTGTAGTGCTGAGAAAGGCTCTGTACTACAGAAATCCATCGAGGACTCCTGGGTTCAGGAGCGGAGCTGCTGATACTAGAAGAACAAGCTTCATGGGGACCCTGACAGCAACATCAGGAGGGCCATGTTGGACACACACTTTCTTCTGTGCAAATTCAGGATGAAAGACTAGTGGGGGACTGGGGACTATTTACTCTCCTAGAAAAAAAGGATCAAGAGTCAGAATCGTTAATATTTCTTTCTTGTTTTGAAGATCAAAGGAGACAACCCAGATCCTCTGTCAGTCCCCAGGCAGCATAAGAGACTTTGGTTTCTAACAGTGAAGAGAAATAAAGATAATGACACAAACAATAGCTATTGTATATGCACTGCTTCAAATGGGGACATCTGTCACTGGCACAAGTAAGAACTGTTCACAATTACAATGTCTAAATAAAATACTTTGAACAAAAGGTGCAAGTCACAAGTCAAATAGAACAGAATCTGGTTAAACATTTCTCTTTTAAACAAAAATTCCTTTTGTTTTTATTAATAACGATAATAATATCAACATTTCCCAAACAATTCCTACATGATCAAGAATTAAAATAGGGAATGAGGATGTCCAGGGAGAAGGTAAGGAAAGAGGGAGGGCCCAAGAGAGCCCCCTAGTCTTCTTGCCTGTGACAAACAGGCTGAAAGAGAAAAGTATGTGTGTGTGCGTGCGTGCGTGTGTGTACGTACATATGGAATATGGAGAAACAGTCCTCTTTCTAGCACAATATAAAATGAGAATGTAAGATGACACAAAAACATAGGTACCACTGTAGGGTGTTTAGTCCATGGGTAGAGCCAGCAGGATGGTCAGGGCAACCAACTTTCCAGGTTATAAGAGGGAAACCGAGTTATACACCAAAGAAAAGTCTCATACTGGGGCATTTTAACCAGCATTCCATCAACACCAAGTCACTCCCAGCCTCCATGCTAACATTCTAATATGATTTTGGCTGTACCAGACATGTTTTTCAGCAGATCACAGCAGTAAAGGTGTCCCCAGGTTCCAGGACGGGAGTCTCTCTTTTCGCTCTCCACATGCCAAAGGCCATCACTCCCTCTCTCCCCTTTTTGCAGCCACTAAGATTCCAAAAGATGTTATCCTTTAGTTTTTGCTCCTGTGGAAGAGCAATGCAGAGCACTGAAGGGTGCTCTGAGCATGCAGGAGAGCAAAGGAGTGGCTCTGGGTCCCCTGTCCTCTAACTACTTTGCTCTTCTGTCTCAAAAAAAGAGGCGGCAGGGCGGGGGTGGGGGGGTGGGAAGGAAAAGCAAAATTAAAAAAAGAAGAAGAGGAAGAAGAAGAAGAAGAAGAAGAAGAAGAAGAAGAAGAAGAAGAAGAAGAAGAAGAAGAAGAAGAAGAAGAAGAAGATCAGCTCCAAAAGAAAACATACCAAAAAACCAAAACCAAACCCACAACTGCAATACATCAAATACACTTTCACAAAAGGTGGCAAATGTGGATTTCCTGTTTATTTCCTGGGTGACTTGGTCATACAAGCAAATGTGGCAAAACCCCCTCAAAACCCCATAGAACAACACATGGATAAACTAAATGCGAGGAAAGGAGCCACGACATTCTGGCTGGAGAGAAACACAATGGCAATTTGGTGCAATGCTGCTAGATACTGTTGGTTTAAAGTCCATTATTTTATTCCCGAGCTGTACACAAACCTGCAACAGAGCAGACACAGGGGAATTAGTTTGAAAAGAGAAAGCCTCAAATATTCAACTGAGAACTTAAAAAAAAATTCAACTGCGTAGCATAAGCATGATTCTTTTTTTCTTTTTGTAATGCAAGTACTTGACTTAAACTTTGACTATCCAGGCATCCAATTCAATGAAAGCCAATCCTGAGTAAACACACTGGCGGCCAGGAGACTAAGTAAGGAGCCAGGCCTCCTCCCTCCACTGAAGCCACTTTTTGTTTTAGAGATCTTGGTTGATTTCAGTAACTGACCATTTGGGATCCTTATTTTCACTTTCCACATTTTAAATTCCTGCTCTTACATGTTTTAAATCCACCAACAAAGAGTGAGCCCACAAAACCCCAGGGCCCCACCCTGAACCCCAGTAAAAGCAGAGCACCAGGCCTATTTTCTAATCGCCCACCCACCCCTGCCCCCCCGCCCCTCAAGAGCTTGCTTTGTGGCCCTAGGTGTGCCGTGTAATTTGTGTAATTTCCAGGTCTTGTAAATAATAAATCTCCGTCTTTTCTGGGTTTCCCCATGGTTACTGCTGAAGGGCGCCTCACAGCCATAGTAAGAACCACAAGAATGGTCCAGCAACAACACTGGTTTTCAACAGGCTGAAATCAATAAAAAACAGACTGGTTCACCTTACCTCCGGTTTCTAAAGAGGTCTGCCACATTGAGGCTCTAATGTGGATTTGCCGCATGGCTTAACTTTCATCAAATCTTTTCTATCAGAGTTTTCAAAGAACCAATACTACCTACTATGTTAGTTTACGCATTACTACAACCAGGCCAATTTATCCCTTTTCTACCACTGGTCTCTGATCACCTATTGCCTCCATCTAGAATATGCTGCCACTTGCAGTGCAGCCTAAAATATTAAGGCTGGATGTGTTTTCTTGCTGGGCTTCATCTGTCAGGACCGAGTGTAAGGACCACCTCCTTTCCTTATTACCCTGTACAGAGGTGCCCTGTCCTCCACAGCTGCAGCTCACTCACTGTCTCTGTGAAGGCTGCTACAGCACTTGCAGTTACCACCTGTGTCTTATCCCCATAAGGCTGGACTATGGCCAGCATTTCTTCTGTCTGTACCTAGCCACACCACAAAACTAGCACAGTGCTTAATGACAGACCAGGAGGGAAAGAGCGGTATTGTGGAGTTTATGTGGAAGGACTCTCCTCTCCTGACAGGATCAGGAGCTTGCACTGGGCCAAAGGGCGGGTTTGGCCCTGGCCCAGGTGATACTCACTCTTGGTTCCTGTTACACGCCTGCCTGTTCCATGCTGAAGGAGACCTCGGGGTGCTTATAGCTGAGTAGTATGTCTGTTATACATGTTGATGGATAGCAAGAGTTCAAATGCTGGCTGCCATCAGTTAGGTCTAGGTGCTCATGATCTCCTAGACTCTCCTCGCATTCTGAAGACCAGAAAGAACATGTGAGATGTGCTGGAAGCAGTAAGTGGGGGTAGGTGGACAGCCGGGTGAGAGAAGAGGAAGAGAAGCCTGAGTACCCACAGCCTGACTCCAAACCTGAGCCCTAGCTCATAGCAGGCCATCACTGTGTTTAGTGACTCAGGATTCTTCTAAGTGTTACTGCTCCTTCAGAAAGACTTCCCTCTTCAAGGGAGAAGGCAATTTTACTGCTAGTAGACACTGATTACTGAGAACTCTCTACGCTCTAGGAATAATTCTAAGCATTTTAAATTCACTAGGACAGTTGATGCTCACAGCACAATCTAGGATACATGCTCTATTGCTTCTGCCACTTTACAGAGGATGCTGGGGCTGAGAAAGGCAGAAAGGCAGAGCCCCTTGCCGATGTAGCCTGTAAAGGGCAGCCAGGACTTCTTCCTGCAGACCTGTCCATTCCAAGGCCTGTACTTTATTATGATACCTTCCCTTTACTGATTCTAATGGGAGGCAGACATATTCTATTCTATTAGAGTGCCCTCTAATCAGAACCAGAAAAAGTTATTAAAGGAGCATCTTAACAAAGCATTAAAAACAGAAATGTGGTACTTCTGCACTCAACCAGAAGACGTGCTCCTTTACACAGGCACGCTCAGTAAAAGAGAAATGGAAAAGAATTATGCACCCAGAACCCCTCAGGGATGCTGTGGCATTGCAGGAACTCTTTATACTGAAGAGTCACTGGTGAAGATGGAAGGGGAGAGTTCTAGGAGTTTCTCTTGGAGCAACCCATGTGTAAGGCTCCTTACCCTCATTTTCCCCATCTTGAAACTGCTGGCTCCCCATAAGTGAGGACTGACTGAGGACAGCATCTGACATCCGGGCAGAACTAAGTGCTTTCCCAGCCACGAGACTCATTCCTGGCAAGTTATCCAGCTGTACCTGCAGAAAAAAAATTAAGCCAATAGACAGACACCAAACAATATGCAACATATAGATGACCCTTAGAGATAGCTGTTCCCTCTGAAAGAGCTCAGGCACCACTCCCAAGAAGTACTCCCAGACATCCCTTCTCTGCAGTGCCATCCAAAGGGCCTGCAACAGGGACAGTGTGGGAAGCTGCTGTAGCTTCTGCCCCTGGAGTGGATGAGGTGGGGGAGGGCACGGCGAACCTCAGCTGGTGGACAGATGCCCCTGACACCTACAGGACCTTCCAAACCAGGTTTCTGACCTATCCCGATCACCATGAAGGGTCTAATGGAACTCCCTGTGAGGATGGAAATGTCCTACTGTGTTGTCTAATATGGAATCACGAGCCACAAGAGGCTACTGAACATTTGAAATGTGACTAGAGTGACTGAGGAACTACATTTTTAACTTAATTACATCTAAATTTGAATAGCTGATTATGGCTACTTGCTACAGCATTTATCAGTCCTGCTCTAGAAGCCTGCCCCAGGAAAACAAAGTCTTGCTGAGCAAGGTTAGCTCCCTCTATCTGAGGAAGTTCAATGTATTTGCCAGAAAACCAACCAAGAGCCTAAGTGTTCATTTGCTAGGGCCTGACTTTAGACTATTTGGCCAGAAGTTTGATAACTAAGACTAGAGGGAACAAATGGCAACTACTCTTGATTCCCCAGTCTAAAATTTGAGTGTAGATCCCACTGAGATTCTACTGGAGTTAAAGGCTAGTCCGTCCAGGTGATTCAAAGACACGCTTCCTTAGTTCACAGGGTGAACTTAGGTGCTGGACTCTGGTTGAGAAGGCTGCAGGAGTTCATGCTACCCAACATTACTAAATTCTGTTTCCAAGGTTGGATTGGTACGATCCCACTTCTGAGAAGCAGGAGGGACCAACATACATAAGCATCGTCGCTATTCTGGATTGTGTGGTGTCTCTGGAGGGTCCGAGGCCTGTGGTGCTCACTGACTGAGGGGCGAGCTGGGTACCCAAGTCCATTATGATCTGGCAGCTCCATTGCTTGTCCTGGAGAACTTCTATCCAGGCAATTCCCTATGACAGATTCTGAGGAGAAAGAGCAAAGTAAGGTTGGTCAGCAGACCTAGAGTTCCTCTCAACACTGTCAATACCCATCAAAGAAATGTCCTGCAAAGGACAATCAACAATGGCGAGGATCACATGTGCACTACTTACTAATCCTCAACTGGCTGGTGATAGTGCTTAGAGGAGCCTGGACCAGCCTTCTAACCCTATGTCCTATAGTAAACACGAGCCTCTTTATGGAGGGACCATACCCTTAGGAGAAAAACCCCACATACTAGTGCATGATCACATGGAACATTTTCTTTTTTCCTTCATCTCTCTGTTGACTTGACAGTGCTGTGTTCTCAAATCCAGATGCACATAAGAACCATTCTTGAGGCTTTTGGGAACCAACTGCCTGGGAGGACGGCCTCCATTCTATGGACATCTTCTCTCTCCTTTCTTGACTTCCACCTCAGTGTACCACCCCAGTCCTCTCTTCTGTTTATCAAACTGCTGTTTCCAACTCTGTCCATAGCTCCTCCACTCTTTACATTTCTATCCTTTACCTCCCTCTTTCCCTACACTCACTTTGGCAATATCATCTGTTTTCACGGCTTCAACTATATTGCCTCTATGTAAAGAACTACTGTAATGCTCTTTTAAGCTCCAGGTCCATAGCTCCAACTACTTATTAGGTATCTTTTTCTGGATATTTAACATGCCTAATTCCAAACTCATTAACTTCCCCCAAAACCAGCTCCTCTCTCAGAAATCCTTGTTTTGGTGCCTGTTTTCCTATCTGGGTGTGAGTTCGTAAGGTACCTTACTCCTTACTTCCTTACTCCTGGTTCCACATCAGTTTAAGTGTAAAGAATCTACCTCTGCAATATTGGTCACTCCAGCCCTTTTCTTTCCAATCTCACTGTTTCCATTGCAGCCCTATTGCCTCTATGCCTGGATTACTACAATAGCCTCTTAACCATCCCCCTGCCACTAGCCTACAAAGACTAATCTTTCTCCTGGGTAGGCCAAACACCTCCCAGCCTATCTTCCAATGAAGATTACTCACTATTTTCCCCTACATCCTACACTCTGGGCAAATGGGACCACTTAACTCTTCCCTACCCATTCACAACTCTATGTAAATATTTGCTCTCGCTGTTCCCTCTCCCTGGAAATGCTTGCTTCTTCTTCCATTCCTGCCAATCCAAATCAACTCATCCTTCTAGGTCCATCTCAAATGTGAACATCTTTATGAAAATTTCCCTTTCAAACAAAAATAGATCTTTTCTTCCTTTAAGTGTCAGAAGACTTTATTGAACTCTAATTACTCTACCATTAATCCTGGCACCATGTTCAATTGTGTACTTGTCTTAATCATTCCTCTAAGACTAAGTTCTCTGAGGAGAATTGTATCTTATGCATGTCTGTGAGCCTTTTGTACTCTAGAACACTGTCCTATATCCAGTATTTGGTAATTCCCTCCTTAACTGATATTAATATTGGTTCAGAGAATCATTTGTTCTCTTAACATCCTGTCAGTCATGCAACCCTAAGAACTAAATTTTGTAAAGAAAGAGTAGTTCAACGGGAATGAATTATTTCTTCTTGACTAGCATGGTCAAGAACACCAGGGCCACAGGGAAGTTGCTGGATCCTCCTGGTTGCACTTTTGGCTCCATTCCTTAAGAGCCTGGCATTTGAACATGTTTTGTTTGCTTGGCTGTTTTCTTGGGGGTGTTAAAGCTTGTTGGCAAATATTGGGCCTATCCCCTGATGAACTATACCTTGCCGAGACCAGGTTTTTAAAAAGTTTTTAACAGGAAACATAGCCCTAATGCCAATAGTTACTTGAATAATCAAAAGAAAACATATTGGCCAAGTGCTGGATAAATAAAGGGTTTCAGGTCTCTATATTGAAATGGTCCCCTATAACCATCAAGATTAGGCCTGGGCTTGGGGGCTGAGGGCAAAATGGGAAGGGAGGGGAGCTGACTGACATGCATATATTACTGGTGATATAAAACATTCTGGAGAAAAAAAGAGGAGGGAGGAGCTTCCCAACTACCAAAGATTAAAGAGAGAAACCTTTTGAAAGTTCTGTGAGCAAAAGAGGTCAAAGGAACAGCCTTAAGTCAACTCTTTTGCTATTACTGAAAGCTAAAAGCCAGCAGAGAGAGGAAGATAAAAGGAAGCTTACTTGCTCAGTGGGATTAGCTCACCCATCGTACCTATCCAGCCCAATTCCTCTCAGTGGGCACAGCTCATGTGCTAGCCCCGGGCCCAAACAAAAACCACTAGCAGGAAGTGGTGCAACAATGGCTTTGTGGAGTGCGGAACTGGCTCTCTGGTCTCCACTGCCAAGAAACAACATAAAAGCTGCTTCTTTTCCAAAGTATTTTCTAATGCCTATATTCTCTTCTTTGAAAGCTGGCACCATCCTTTTCAATTCCTTGAGGTGTTTTTTTCTCCCTGGATTATAGAATTGGACGCAAATCTCATCAGTTGCACCTCCTTGCTCCCCCAAAGACAAACACAAGAGCTCTCCTGTTTTAAGATTTTTAAAGGATCATTATCGAACATGAGGAAATGGCAAAACAAACAAAACATGTAAGGCCTGGTTCTTGATAGTTCTTTCTTAACTCTTCTAGTGGCCTCAATGTGTGTGTTTAATATGTATGTTGTCTCCTTTCTCTCCCTCCCCCTTTTTAAATTTATTTTTATTCCTAAAAATGAGATTTCTCCAAACCCAAACACTCACCATCCTTTTGGCCCTGCCTTTAGGGAGGTCACACGGACACTGTCCTCCTTCTCCACTCTCTTCCTGGGCTTCAGATCTGGTGCCAACATACCTGAGTGCTACCAGGACAGAGCAAGCTACTGCTTGACAAACCATATGATGGGCCTGATTGACTCCCCCGCCCAGAGATCATAAGCACATCTCGGGGGTCAGGAAGACGTGGGCTTGAATGTCGGCTTCAGAAGGATTTCTGGGAGTGGGCAAGTTACCTGACTTCATGGGGTCTTGGTTTCTTTGTAATATAGGACTTACTCCACAGGTACGCAAAGTGCTTATTAGGGCTCGGTGCAGTGTAAAGACTGGTATTACTCATATTCATTTCAGAGATGTTAGTTCTGAGGGGACAAGGACCTACTGAGCCAGCTAAAAAAGCTGTTTTTATCAAAAAGGACCTTACTTCTAGAATTATGGAGATAATTTCCCTATATTGAACCAATGAATTAATGATATTTTACTTTTCAGAGAAGAAGCCTCTGATTTAGGAAAGAAAAATATAAGTTAAAAACTAGATGAAAGAGGAATTAGGTAACAAACCAGGGTTTTGACTGCCCAAGTTACAATATAATCCAGAGGTCAAAGATCTGTAAGGGCTAGCAGCTATTGCCTGACAGATATGTTTGAGATGTATAGAATTGAAGGTGAGAAGGCGTAATGGAAGGAATATTAGGCTAGGGAATCAGAAAACTTGAAGTCAGGATCTAACTCAATCACCAACAGAATGCACAAAATTCGGTAAGCCATTTAATCTCAGTTCTCTATCTCGAAAATGACAGTTGCTTGAGGGCTCAAAAGATAACACATGTGAAAGGTTTAATAAATTATTAAGGACTGCACAAACATGAATTTTAGAAAGAACACTGAATCCTGAGTCTAGAAGTCCTTTGTGACATTCTAAGATGAGACCTACTGACCAGTTGGGGGTGGGGTGAAGTGTACATAGAATAACCCACTAACCAAGGGACATGAAATTTAGGTTAAAATCTTTGGCATCCTTTATGCCAATTATGCAACAAGAGTAACTGTCAAGCTCACCAAAGGGCATAATCAATAGTAGGGGAAAGAGAACTTCTAAGAGCAGCATTCTCACGCATTTACCAAAGTAAAGCCCTCAGTACAGAGGAGAGAATGACTGTCTGATTGTGCAAGGTAAAGAATACACAAATGGACACAATGCACACCACCCACCTGCTCGGGGAACTTTGGGGCAGCTTGCACAACTCTCTATTGAATCTGTCAATGTTGACTTGTCCTTACTCATTTACTAGGTTTTCAGAAAAATGAAATGACATGTGCACATATTCTTCTTAAAGGTTCTGAGGGGAACCCTCCACGTCTGTCATTTGACCTCACTCTGAGGCCTGACGTCCATTAATATTGCCGACACTGACTAGGCTCAGGGAAGAGGATGTGGTTTTCTTTGTGAGTTCAAGTTGGTAACCTCAGAGTTATGATGCTGTACTTATTTATTTGCAAAGTACGGAAAAAAAATCAAGTAGAGAAATAACCCTTAATTCTACTTCTACAGTGACAGTTAGGGGGATCACAGGTAGCACGGGGCACGTATTGCCCTGAAACTTCTACACATCTCAAACAAACCTTTAGCATGCTGCCTGCTCAGTGCCCTGACAGCACCTGGCTTCATACTGAGTGGTAGCAAAGAGCCATAAAGGAAATAGGTAACCACAAACAATGATATGATGGCATCTAATTTTCCTTGGTTAACACCAGCGATCCCTGTTCATCTTCACTTAAGAAGTTTCAGAAAGACCACACTAGATCTGCTTTTTATAATCATAGTCTTGCATTGCTTAACGGGAATACATCTGAGAAATTTGTCGTTAGGTGATTTTGTCATGCGAACATCCCAGAGTGTACTTACACAAACCATAGATAGTACGGCCTATTCTACACCTGGGCTGTATGTTGTAGCCTATTGCTTGTGGGTACACACCTGTACAGCATGTTACCGTACAGAATACTGCAGGCAATTGTAAGGCATTATGCTAAGCCACTATGACAGCTATGACATGACTAGGCAATAGGAATTTTCCAGCTCCATTATAATCTTGTGAAACCACCATCATATATGCAGTCCATCATTGACCAAAACATCCTCATGCAGTACATGACTGCATACCTCTTTTAACAGCACTTGAAGGTGGCACTTCAGGTTAAAGCTGTTCATGACCTTGCCTTCCTTTCCCCCTATAGCTATAAGCTCCCCAAGGGCCGGTTCTTT